AGAAGGTGGTTGGGGAGGTGGGTGGGCAGGGGTCCCCACCGAACCTGGGGGACTAGGCCTGGACTCCAACCCATACCCCCTGGTGAGTGGTGTTGCCGAGGGGCCGTTCTGTGGGTCAAGTATGCTGACATTACTACCGACCCTGGTCTGGAGGGGACCAGACCCTGGGCTTGGTGGTAGGCCCAGGGTGTCCAAAAGGGCCACTCAGTCAGTGGTTGCCACTGTGGAGGCCATGTTTATATCATGGCCTGGTTGTGGTCTCTCTGTCGGTGCCGTGAATGAGATCTGTGCCCAGATCACGAACAGTGCCACTGCCCTGATGTTCGGGAGGATCGTGACCCTCTGGAGTCAACTGTATGGCGCGAGGATGCCCTGGATACAAGGGATTCTCCATCCAACTCCGATGAGAGCTCCGATGCCGACCAAGGCGGTGCCATGGACAAGCTCTGCGCCATCTCCTGTCCGTGTTCTGCCGATGGTTTCCCCCATGGGTTGGCCGTGCTGGTGGTGGCATGCCCGGAGCACCTGGGGATATGGTGCCGCTTGCAGCGGGGTGCCGACTGTCTCACCCGCACCACCTCCTGCACTGGTTGCATCGGTGCCAACTGAGTCGGTTCCAGAGGCCCCAGGGGACCATTGCATCCGTGTCGTCGGTGGTGCCAGTGCCAGGACCAACCTGGCACCGAGATGTGCTCTCTCCTCACGCTCTACGATGCACTGCGGTGCCGAAGCTGGGGAGGCTGTCAGTTCTATCAGCTCCTGGGCCCATTAAAGGTGTCTGGAGTGGGCGGCCGCATGACCTCCTCCAAAGGCAGGTCCTGGGCCTTAAGGGTGCCGGCCCACACCGGGTTTTGCCGTTGGTGTGATGAAGGGGAAGCCCCAAGATGCTCTCCCTGGTCCCACCTGGCAGGCTATCTGCTTCTTTGCAACTTTTTTGAAGTTGCTGGCACTAGGGATTGGGTGCCTCAGTGCCAACCCCTGCCCCTGCATGTCTCAAGCCATAGTTGGCCTCTCTCGTTGACCCCGGTGATCGGCACCGGTGCTGAGGGTTGAAGCACGGACTCTATTAAAATCAGCTTAAGTCTGGAGTCTCTCTCCTGCACAAATCTGTTAGGTGGCTTTCCCCACTTGAGACTCTTTTTATGAGGATCTCCGCATGGCATCAGCTTTGAGCACCGCCAGCAGGATTTGAAGCCATGGGGCCCCGACATGCCCCCCCTGCCTGGCCAAGGGGAGCGGGAGCACAACAAAACTAACTCTACTCTAGAACTAACACTTAACTAATTGAGAACTACTCTATTTACACCACTAAGGAAAAACACTAAAGATAAGCTAAGGGAACATTTGTGATCACAAGTGAAGTGTTCCAGCAACCATCAGAGGCGGAAAGAAGGAACTGAAGGGGGGGAGGGCCAGCAGGGGGTAATATGCGTGGCTATACCAGCGCCACTCCAGGGGGCTCCCTGGCTGGCCCAACGGGTGCTGCTAAGGGTAAAAAGCTTTTGGAACTTGTTCATGGAGTGTGCGCACACCTAAACGGAATGGACATAAGCAAGCACTTGAAGAAGAGGTGCTAGGAATAAGGCTTGACATCCATAATGAGTATTCTAACCATATGAACTCATTGCACTTAATGTAACGTACTGACTGTGCAGATATGAGTCAATATCTGTGCAGATACGCAGACATTATTTTCTAGAAGCCTACCCTCAAAGAGGTTAAAGGATCTACTGCTACTTCCACCAAAGGAGATGTCTCTGAGCCCATGTGACAAGCATTTCCTTTTGTTTAAAAGGACCCAGTTTTCAGTCTCATCTCTGTAAATGGTATATTTTATACAGGCAGTCCCCGGGTTACATGGATCCGACTTACATCGGATCCCTACTTACAAACGGGGTGAGGCAACCCCGCACTAGCTGCTTCTCCCGAAGC